CCGCTGGCACCTGGGGCGCTGAGGAGGCGCCGGCCCGGGCGCCCGGCCGCGTGTCGGGCTCCGCAGCGACTGCTCCGCCGCGCCTGCCCGGCACCCGTCTGCAGGGATCGGGCAGGGCCGGTCCTGCCGCGCACGGGGCGGCTGGTCTGCAGCAGGTTGCTTTTCGGGTAGCAGTTTGGGCAGTGGTGACAGCTGCCGGCACTTGGCGTAACTTGCGCTAAAGAAACTGAGTCATAGGTAGACCCCTCCAGTGACTTAGCACGTTCAGGCTAAATTTTCGAGGCAGCCCTGATTCAGATTGCTTGTTTGTGTGCTCTGCCTATAATTGCTGCTGTCTTTTGTTGTCAGTTCTAATCTGCTGCTAAAATTCGGCTCGTCCGGGGAGCTGGTTCAAAGTTGCGCTGCAAAATCTTGCTGTTTCAGTTGCTCGCTGTCCTTCGATGTTATTTTGCCTTTAAAAACGTGAGAACCTCCTTCATTACGCTTCCTGCCAAATGGAAACAGCCTTTTATATGTATTCCATACCATTTCTCCCTTTTCTTACAACTGTTCAAAATACGTTTTCTTCCCGTCCTTCATCTTAGTTTATTGATTTCTTTTTCATGCTGTTATTCCCAAATGCATTTCAGAGTTCAATACAGCTTGTATGACTACTGATTTAAGGTATAAAAATGTATAAGTTTTGAATAACATTTCTCCCGATACTTGTTTATACTGATTTGCTAGAAAAGGTATGATGCAATATGAGCTATGATTAACATGGGTTTAGGGGCTTTGGAGGTTCTTTTCTTTTGATAGCTGGTGAGTGGCACTAGAGGTTTAATTCAGGAGATTCCATAATTATGTCAGAAATATTACATATTACAGATGAAACACTTTGGTTAACATTTGTATCAAGAAGTTAAGCACACTCATCCTACTCGTTGCTACTTCGTACTATTCATCATGGCTGTGCACTGGGAAAAGCGTAGTAGCTTTTAATGTCATTAGTATTAATTACATGGCTTGGTGTGCATAATACTTGTCATTTTCAAAGCATTTCCGTGCACGTTATTAAATACTTACATGTCTTACAAACATATTGCATAAGGGATGTCCTCCTGACTTTCACAGATGGATAACTGAGGGATGGGAAGAAGAACC